CACAGTATGCAGTATAGAAAAAACACATCTGACCCAAAAGGAAATTCATAGATTAAAAGTCCAAGGATGGAAAACAGTAATCCATGCAGCAGGAATCCAGAAGAAAGCAGGGGTAAGTATTCCATTTGCAGACAATGTGAACTCCAAACCTAAAATGATTAAAAGAGACAAAGAAAGTCACTCAATACTTGTTAGTAGAAAAATTCAAGAGGAAGAACTAATAATTACAAATATATATGCACCAAATGCAGGAGCACCCAACTATATAAGACAGATACTAATAGAAATAAAAACCAAATACACAAGAACACAATTATAACAGGGGACCTTAACAGCCCATTGTCTCAAAGAAATAGATCAACTAGACAAAAAGTCAGCAAAGAAACAATAGAACTGAGTCATACCTGAGAGCAATTGGACATGGTAGATGTTTACAGTGTTCTACCCAACCACATCAGAATACACATTCTTCTCAGCTGTGCATGAGACATTCTCCAAAATAGAGCATATATTATCCCATAGACATTCTTAAGTAACTGCAAAAGTATTGAAATTATCCCATGCAAAATGTGAGAGCATAGTGCATTAAAATTGGAAATTAATGGCAAAAGAAATTGCAAAATCTGCATAAACATATGGCAATTAAATAACAACCTTTTAAACAACCAGTGGGCTACAGATGAAATTAAAAAAAAATACAGCAATACCTACAATCCAATGAACATGCAGAAACAACATATTGCAATCTGTGGGATGCAATGAAAGCAGACTTAAGAAGGAAATATGTAGCAATAAACTGTCATATTAAGAAAACTGAATGAGCACAAATCAACAACCTAATGCTTCATCTCAAGCTTCTAGAAAAAGAAGACCAAATGAAACCCAGAGCTCGTAGAGGAGAGGAAATTATAAAGATTAGATCAGAAATCAATGCAATTGAAACTAAAAAAAAATACAAAGAATTAATGAATCAGAAAGTTGGTTTTTTGAGAGAACAAAAAAATTGACAAACCTCTAGCTAACCATATCACGAAAAAAAAAAAAACCCTAAATTCACGCAATAAGGACTGAAAAGGGGGAAATTACACTACTTTCCACGGAAGTACAAAAAATCATAAACACTTACTTTGAAAATCTCTACTCACATAGAGTGGAAAAAAAAGAGCAAATGGACAGATTTCTAGAAAAATATGAACTACCGAAGTGCAACCAAGAAGATACAGCAATTTTAAATAACCCAATATCAGCTATTGAACTTGAAAACATAATTAAAAACTTACCAACAAAGAAAAGCTCAAGTCCTGATGGATTCACGGCTGAATTATACAAGAAATTTAGAGAATATTTGATGCGAATACTCCTTAAACTCTTCAATGAAATTGGAAAGAAAGCAATCCTCCCTAAATCATTCCTGGAGGCAAGTATTACTCTAATACCACAACCAGAGAAAGACCCAACCCAAAGGAGAACTATGGGCCAGTCTCACTAATGAACACTGATGTAAAGATTCTCAATAAAATACTGGCAAAAAAATGCAGAAAATCATCAAGAAGATTATACATCATTACCAAGTGGGATTCATCCCAGGAATGCAGGGATGGTTTAACATATGCAAATCAATAAATGTTATACACCACATCAACAGAGCCAAAAATGAAACCACATGGTCATCTCAATAGATGCAGAAAAAGCTTTCAATAAAGACCAATGCTTGTTCATGATAAAAGCCCATCAGAAACTCAGAATACATGGTGTCTACCTCACTCTTATAAAGGCCCTCTATGACAAACCAAGTATATGTCATTATACTAAATGAACAAAAACTGAAAATTTTCACTTTTAAATAACGAACGAGACAAGGATTCCCTCTATCACCACTCCTATTCAACATAGTTCTGGAAACACTAGTGAGAGCAATCACACAAGAGAGAGAAATAAAAGGAATAAAGATAGGAAAGGAATAAGTTAAATTATCACTATTTGCAGATGACATGATACTTTATATAGGAGACCCAAAACACTCCATTAAAAGACTACTATAGGTAATAAACACATTCAGCAGTGTAGCTGGATATAAAGTCAGTGCTCAAAAATCAATAGCATTTCTGTACACTAACAAAAAAGTCACTGAGAGAGAAATTATGGAAATATTGCCCTTCAAAATAGCATCGAAAAAAATGAAATACTTGGAATCAACCTAACCAGGAATGTAAAAGACCAATATGCTGAAAATGATGCTATGCTAAAAAAGGAGATTGAAAAGGATATTAGATAATGGAAGGATATTCCTTGCTCTTGGATAGGAAGAACCAACACTGAAAATATGATCATATTCCCAAAACTGTTATACAGATTTAATGCAATCCCAACAAAAATACCATTAACATACCTCAGAGGTCTAGAGAAAACACTCCTAAAACTCATTTGCAAACAGAAGAAACCTAGTTTAGCAAATGCAATTCTGGGCAACAAAGGCAAGGCAGGAGGCATCTCAATTCCTGACTTGAAACTATACTACAAAGACATAGTGATAAAATCAGCCATGATACTGGCAAAGAAATAAACCTGAGGATCAATGGAACAGATAGAAGATGCAAGCACAACTACAGAGACACTCAGCCCCTTGATATTTGACAGTGAAGCTAAACATGTTCACTGAAAGGATAGATCTTTAATAAATGGTGTTGGAAAAATTGGCTCTCCACACACCAAAGATTTAAATTAGATCCATGCCAATCACCATGCACAAACCTAAACTCTAAATGCATCGAAGACCTAAATATTAAAACAGAAACACTAAATCTGCTGGAAGACAATGTAGGTAGAAGCCTTGGAGACACAGGGGTAGGCAAAGAATTCATGAGCAAAACAAAAACTGCACAGGAAAATCTGCAAAGAATCAACAAATGGGATCTCATATCATCAAAAAGTTTCTGCACTTCAAAAGAAATCACCAACAGAATGAAAAGAAAACCCACAGAATGGGAAAGAGTTATAGCCAACAACCCCTCAGACAAAGGACTTACATTCAGAACATATAAAGAATTGAAAAACATCGAGCCCCCAAATTCAAAGACCCTCTCCAAAAATGGGCATCTGAGATGACCACACTGTTCTCAGATGAATATATACAAATGGCAAATAAATACATAAAGAAATGTTCACCATCACTGGTCATTTGAGAAATGCAAACTAAAACAACACTGAGGTTTCATCTCACTCAAGAAAGAATGGCTGCCATCAACAAATCAACTGATAACAAATGTTGGTGAGGCTGGGGGGAAAAAGGAACACTGTTCCACTGTTTGTGGGAGTTTAGACTGGTGCAACCACTATGGAAATCAGTACGGAGTATTCTCAGAAGACTATGATTGGAAGATTCATTCAACCCAGCTATTCCCCTTCTGGGTATTTTCCCAGAAAAACTGAAAAGGTCATATCACAGCCCTATATGGGCACCCATATTCATAACAGCAAAAGTTGTAATAGCTAAATCTTGGAAACAACCAAGATGCCCATCAACCGCAGAGTGGATGAAAAAGATGTGGTATTTTTATATAATGGAATATTACTCAGCTATAAAACAGATGATCTTGAGGCCTTCATAGGCAAATGGAGACAACCTGAGGATATCCTCATTAGTGAAATAAACAAGAATCATATTGATAAATATCACATTGTATCTCTAGTGTAAAAAGTAACTGCAGGAGTAATAAAACCCAAAAGGTGTAATTGCTATTGTAAAAAAGAGAGGAAAAGAAAGTGCTCTAATGGATATGACTGCATGTATGTTTCAGTGCATAGGATTGATAACCATACTACCAAGTTTTTGTTGGATAGTTGAACAGAACTGTTTGTAGTCTTGCTGTTGAATGTCCCCTTTGTATGCTTTAATTTTATAACTTGAACAACTATCTGTAAGAAGACGATATGTAATTTTCAACTAGTTGTTTCTTACTATTAAATTTTCAAATTCTGCATTATTTTTCTGTTTTGTTCTTTTCTTTAAATAAAAAAATTAAATAAAATTAAACAAAATGGGCTCCTTGGGCCAGGGATTTAGCTCAGTGGCATAAGCACCTACCTGGCAAGCATGAGGTCAAGAGTTCAATCCCCAGTACCACCAAAAAACAGGGCCTCTAATCCAAGACCTGAATGTGACTCCCTTTACCCCCCTAAAGCTGCAAACATTCATTGAAAGAGAAATCAAAGACCTAACTCACAGGATAAATATCTCACACATAGCATTTGTGGAAATAATGAGACTTATAATGTTACAGGCAGCTGAGTTAGAAATATTATAGCCAGTCAGACAGGGCTGGGCCTTCAAAGGAGCCTGTGAAAAAGACCAGATACCTTGCAAACTTGGAGAAGACAGACACCTCTGCTGAGGGTCAAATCTCAAGACAAAAGATAAAACAAATGCAACCATATCCTAAAGTACAAATATCAGGGATTGACATTCTAAATAGATATGGATCTACTTAAGCGAACCAGGAGTTAGCATCTCAACCCCCTATAGAAAGAGTCACTGCTATTTAACAATGCCCACTTGCTATGTGACTCACTTCTCCATTTGTCCTTGATTTGGTCAGTTTTACCTACAACAATTAATCTTATTGGTTGACTATAGTTCTGTCCCACCTCCTGCCCATCTGCCTTGTGAGTTCCCATGGTTTCCCCATTTTGGATCCTGCTCAACTCATGGTTTTGCTCTATAAAAGTCTCTGGAAAAGACAGAATCTTTGGCAACTCGCTTGGGACTCCTTCTGTTTCCTCTCACACAGGAGCTTTGTTTCTCTCAATAAATATATTCTACTCTTTTTTTTTTTAACAGGTCCACAGTCTTTATTGGTCAACCTGTAGTCACAGGCTTTTTCACCAATAGCAAAAAATCGTTTACAGAGCTTGCAGCCTGGTCTTCTTTGCCTTGGTCTTCTTTCCCTTGGTCTCTCCAAACTAGGAACTTAACAGCCGTTGCGGGGTGTGGTAGTGTGTACCTGTCAGCCCAGCATGGTGAAGTATGACCCTTAGTCTAAGCACAGCTCCAGAGATCATCTCCTCAGTGTCAGCCACTTCCAGGAACCCTGGGGACACCAGGTCTTGAGCTTTGTGGTGTATCATCCCTGTAACCTCCGCGGTCTTCAATCTGGCACCGCTGCAATAAGCACAACTGTCAGGAAAGATCTTTTCCTTCCTCAAGCCCTCAGCATCACCAAGGCCTGCCTGGCCTGGTCCCGATGCTGTGCCTTCGCTTTTTCAGGACTGTGACCCAAAGCATTGCCATATCCTGTGCCACTAATCATTTCAGGACTCGTTACTACCGGTTCTCGAACTCAGCAAAATCTCCTCTACAAGAAACAAGCCAGTTTGAAGGAAGGCTGCCCGCAATCCCTGAGAAGTGGCAGGCACAGTGGAACTGTCTTTCCCCAGAATGTTGCAGATCGGTTACAGCAAACAGAACGGCGACCGTCAAGGAAAATTCTTACTCTGGGCTCCTTTTTGACTGCAGCAATATATTCTACTCTTAACCTCCATTGTTCCTAAAATTCATTCTTTGATTTTAGAGAACACAAACTCATACTAGACATATAATAGGTTGGGAATTTCATTCCCCTATATCAATAGAGTAGCAAAACAAGTAGCTACCAACACCTTCTTGTTTCCCCACTTCCCATTCTCTCTTAGGCCTTCTTACTCACCCCAAAATAACTACTCAAAGAACAGAGAACACAACAAGAGACACTAACTTCTCCATGAAAAAATGGCCTTTTTGGAAAGCTTTCAAAATACATCTTTTTCATCTTTCAATGACAAGTTGTATGTCAGATCATTATTTCTGCTTCTAATTCTTACAAACTTGCATGTGCCTCGGTCTTCAGTTCAGGACCTCTCTGCAAAGGATTATCACCAAATGCTCCATACGCCAAATCACTAACATCCTTCAGAGCAACAATAGACCTCCACATTTTCCTGCTTATCATTTTCAGGGATCTTTCCCCAGAATGGACTAGCAATACACTTTCCACAAATGCCTCCAGTAAAAAGGCAAAGATATTTCCTTGTTCTAGTTGACACCTTCTCAGGATGGATAGAGACCTTTCTTACATCAAACAAATGATACTACATAGTATCATTTATCTGACTCATTGAAACCACTCCCTACTTCAAACTCCCAATCTCCATTCAAATTGATTATGGACCCGAATATACCTCACAGATCACCTAACAGGTGTCCTCCTGACATATATGCTGGAACAGCATTTAAAAAACCTCTTAACCTATAGGAGACTCCTTCTGCTGCAGAGAGGTCCCTCTCAAATTTAGCAACAAATCTGCTTGGACTGTTGGGTTTGCATTCTTCTCCTTCTTTTCCACTCAACAACCTTGGTTACATAAATTACTCAAATCATCAAGCAAGACCTTGGTTATATAAGCTGTTTACATTGGAACCCGAAGGTGTGTATCTGCTGGAGTCCTGCTGACTCAGGCCCCACTGTCAAGATAAGCTCCCTTTCACAACCTGAACCAAAGTTTAGACATCTTTGGTTTTTGTTTTGTTTTGCTTTTCTTGGTACCAGAAATTGAACTCAGTAACAATTCTCTTTTGGTGACATGGAAATTTAAAGAATAATTCACTGGGGCCTGTAAATATACAGGCTCAAAAGTCCCAGGAAACACTTCAAAAATTTTTTGAGACAGAGTCTTGTTTTGCCGTCCAGGCTGGCCTTGAACTCTCTATGTCATCCAGGTAAGCCTCAAACTCACAGTAACCCTCCTGTCTCAGCCTCTCAAGTGCTGGGATTATAGGTATATGCCACCACACACAGCCCTCAAATATTTTTAAACACCATTCTGTTGTAGTAGATGTAGGTGCAATTTCCAGGTATTATCTACATCTTGTGAGATGTAATTTTTTTCTCCTCTCCTCAGCAAAGAAAAAAAAATGAGGATCATTAACTTTTGGTTAATGAGTTTTGGATCATTAACTTCTGCTTGGTAGATGTTTCATATTTTGTGGACAATATAGAAATAACTGTTAAAAATTAAATTAGATAAATATGAAAGTAAAACATTTGATTTGTAATTAATTTAAAATACTGAAGACATTTGCTAAGTATAAATTCATTTACTTTTTGCTTTTAAAGTTTATAAATGGTAATGCATTAGGATCTATTAAATGCATATCACACGTTGTTGATATATGTGTGCAACACTGTGACATAGGATCAAAAGATATCTGATCCTTAAATGAGTTTCAGGGTAACTATTTAGAAGGACAATAAGTACCTGAAAATGGAGACATTTGTTAAACCAAAGGACAAGTTAACAATGAAAGTTAAACACCAGGTCTTGAATTGATTGAGAGTTTATTTGATATCACTTTAAGATATTCTAAAGTTAAAAATTGTATGAGCACACCTCATTTAATATCTTGGTTGCAGTCTGTGTTAGGAAAAAAAAACTTTTGCTATAAAGAGTCAATAGTTAAGGGTTAATAGCTATGACATACCAGATCTGTTAGTTTTTTTAATTCCTAATGTTAATAATTTTAAGGGATGTTAAAAAGTTTTGGTTGCTTCTCTGTAGCAGAACTGTTATTATTTTACTGTCTAGTCTTTTCTTAAGTTAAGTACTAAAAATGTTCTTTAAAAATACTTTGGTTTTACAAAGAAGCCTTGGAAGTTTCAGAAATGAAAGGATTTTGGACTTTTCCCATCCCATATATGTTGTATGTTTTTTGCAACATACATAATGCTTACAATGTATGACACAGTTTGGATACAAACATGACAAAATACAATTTTTAAAACCACTGGTAACTTGTGTATGAAGTGGCATAATTTTTTAATAAAAGTAATGTTTTTGTTTAAGTTAGTCATATGTTTTGCACAGTATATCTAATTCAAAATGTAATCCACGGAGACAGTGTGAGAATATTTATGTTTAAAACAACAAGGCTGGAGATATTAATCCTTTTTCTTTCTTTCCTTGCATTTTTTTCTTCTCTTGAGGCAGGATCTTAATATGTATTTCAGATTGACCCTGAACTCATTATGTGCCCAGCCTGGCGTTGAACTGGTGATGATACACCTGCCTCAGCCTCTTGTGTGGTAGGAGTGTAGGTACATATCACAGTCAGTAAGATATTAACCACTTTTTAAAAAATTTAGGAACAAAATTTTAAAAAGACTTTTGTAAAAAATTTTTAAAAAGACTTTTGTCAAAATAATTTCTACTGTTCTATACTGCCTCTTGTTAAGTTTTAAAAGTTTAGAAAAATTAAATCTTAGAAAGTTCATATTTACCTAGCTATATTTAAGATTGTGTTTTAGAATTCTGGTTGCATAAATATTATTTAATGTGATTTATTTATTTTTAAAAATGTTATCAGCCTGTTTGATTGTTTCATTATTAGGTTGTAAAGGTAAATAAGTTATTTTGCTAAATTGTCACCTTGTGTATTGCTTATATTCATATAACTGGTAAAAGCCATGTTCCTCTTGGTTGATAAAGACAGCTTTGCTAAAAATGTATGTTTTTAGTTGATAAAATAGACAATCATTCTTGCACACGCTATTCAAAAGTTTATGTATTTTTAAGAAATCCTAAAGGTTTTACTAAATTGTTCTTGGAATTAGTAAATTATGAACTTTCTCCCAAATGGTAATTCATGCTTATTTACAAGAAAGGTGGACTCTAAGTATTTGCTTGATGTATCTTTTTTTACAAAACAATCCTATCTCAGAGAAATATTGGCTTTAACTTGGTTATAGTTTTTCTTAGTTCAAGTTTTCTATACAGACTGGATTTGCTTTGCTTTTGTTGGCTTGTTTTACATCTTTTTATATACTTTTAACTATTATTTGTCAATATACTGTTTTAGCGTGCTGACTACTGAATAGACAGGATTAGACTTTACAATGGATACTAGATAAATTCAGTCTTAGAGCCATTCTTTCTATGTCTCTGATATTGCTCCAATTTGGCAAGGATTTTATAACACTGAATCCAATCATCTGTCACATCCTCTCCAACTCTGGGCATGTTCTGTCTAACCACCATTGAGAAATGCTACCCCAGTAGTAAAGGACAAGGTGGGCACCATGCATGGGCTGACTGGGGCAATCAGACACCAGCCTTCTCGTGTGAATTGGTGCCATTTATGGACTGTGGGAGAGGAGAACAAGAAGTGAACAAGAAGGTAAGACCTCTTGTGAGTTAGTTCCATGTGTGGGCTGACTGGAATAGAGGCAGATACCAGCCTTCTCCTGAACATCTGTGCCATTTGTGGACTGCAGGGAAGGAAAGTAAGAAGTAAACAAAAAAGTTAAACCCTCCTGTGAGTGAATGCCACACATGGGCTGACTGAGGGAGAGGCAGACACAAACCCTTTCCTATGAGTCTATGCCATTCATAGACTGTGGAGGAGGGGAGCAATAAGTTAACAAGAAACTAAGATCTCCTGTGAGTTGGTGTAGATTGTGTAGATTGACTGGGGGAGAGGCATACACCAGTCCCTGCCAGCATGAGGGAAGGGAGACAAAAAGAGTCAACATTCCCTTCCCCCCATTAGCAACCAGATGATCCAGAGAAATGCAGGCTGTGAGATAGCTAATGAGGTAAAATACAACATAATGCTTGTAGTGTTACAAAATAAAATTAAATAAAGGACAAGGCTGCAAATGGTTAGTTCGTAGTGTCTTCAGAAGAGAAAAAATCCATTCAGAAAAGAGAGGAAAGTTTTGAGCATCAAAGAGTCACTTGTTAGTCAATCTTACCAACAAGTAGAGCTATAAATGTTATGAGTGGTTTTTATGCATAATTTCCTAAAACCAAAAAGTCTTCTGAAAGGAAGTAATGGTTAGACATTTTCTGACTTTGGCTTTATTTTTTAGTCGACATAAAAATCTTTTCAAGTTCAAGCATCGCTCTTCCCTTTTCTTGTGTTTCAGGTACTTTTGATGTAATCTAAATGCCAGTCTACCATGAGACAGCCAATCAGATAATGTGGCATGTCAAAGTTGAGGAACGAACTAAAGATGGGTAGAGGTTTGTAGTGGCATCACAAAACAAAACTTGAAAAACTATTTTTTCCCCTTTAGAGATAAGTGTATCCTCTAATAACTAATAACAAAAAAAAATTGAAAGCTGTTAGAAGGAAGTACCAAATTAGTGAAAAAAGCAAACCAGTGAGAATAACAGCACAGTTATCAACAAAAACCTTAAAGACTAAGAGGCCTTGAAATGAAGTATTTCAAGCCATAAAAGAAAATAATTGCCAAACTACATTAATAGACCTACAAATTCATACTTTAAAGTCAAACAAAAAAGATCTTCCCTGATAAACACAAACTAAAGAAATTCATGATCATGAAGTTAGAAAATATTTAAAGGAAATCAGACAGAAATTATGAGAACAAGAAGCACAAGATGGGGGAAAAACACTTACTGGAAAAGTTAGTTAAATGAATCAAACACTAAAAAACATGACAGGTATTAGTATGTACTTTTCAATAATAACA